GAACTGCAGATAACAGTCAGCTGAAGTGGCCTGCAGTACTGCACTCTACGCACTGCGCCACCTCGGCTCTATAATAAAACGTCTGCAAGAAAACAACCAAGCCCAGAGAACATCCAGGGCCTCTCTTTTCAATCCTGAGCTACAGATATTATCTTCTTTTGAAACCTCCTCCTGCAAATCCCAAAGGTGCTTTTTTAAAGAGGCAACTGGACTTTCTGATGTTTTTTCTTTGAAGATGTTTCACTTCTCATCCAAGAAGCTTCTTCAGCTCTCACTGGATGGGAGGGAATGGAAGGATTTATACTCCTTGCAGACAGCTGGTCATTTGCATTCTTTTAGCGAGTTGTTAAGGCCACCTGGGGATTCATCCAGTCTTCAGGTCACCTGAGTAGTGCTTTCCATTCTCCACCACTTAATCAGAGCTGAAGAAGCTTCTTGGATGAGAAGCAAAAGGTCTTCAGAGAAAAACCAGAAAGTCCAGTTTTCTTTTGAAAAGCACCTTTGGGACAACTATGACCTGGATGATTGAGACTCTCCATAGAGATCCCCACCAACACTGGCAGGGCAATCCACCATAAACAAGGAGCAAACCCAACACTCACCGGCACTGATAATGTTATCTAGTCTGGTAATGAAACGTCCGCAAGAAAACAACCGAAGTCAGAGAGCATCAAGAGCCTCTCTTTCCAATCCTGAGCTACAAATATTCTCTTATCTTGGAACCTCCTCCTGCAAAGACGATGCAGAGACACAACTTTTTCCCCCCATCTATGTTGTTTTGAAGGGGAGGGCTTTGATTAAAGGCCACCAAGGTTTTCGAGGTCCAAAGGGTGATGCAGTAAGTGTAATTCCCACTTTCATTGTGTGTTGTTGTTGTTGTTTAAGGTGGTGTGCAGTGCTCTCAGATGGACAAATATTATTTTACTTTTGGGTAAATCAAGAGATCGGCTGGTACTCGGGGAAGAGGTGATGTGTAATGGATTATTATTTAACCATTTCAGGGGTCCCGTGGTGACAGAGGCCACCAAGGATTTCGCGGTCCAAAGGGTGATGCAGTAAGTGTCATTCCCACTTTCATTGTGTGTTGTTGTTGTTGTTTAAGGTGGTGTGTGTTATATACAGTGGTGGGATTCAGCCAGTTCGCACCACTTCGAGAGAACTAGTTGTTAAGTTTCTGAGCAGTTGGGTGAACTGATTGTTGGAAGAAATCATTAGGGCAGAGAACCGGTTCTTAAATTATTTGAATCCCACCACTGGTTATATATCTATCAAGTGACTTGCTTTATGGATAAGCAAAGCAGGCAGTTTGCCATTGTTCGTGTAGATCCAAATGAGGGTTGAGAAATAATTTCACTCTGCAACTGCTCTGGTTTACAGCCAGTCCTCAATTTATAACCAGTACTCATAGCCCTCGACTTACAACAGTTCATTTAGTGACCGTTCAAAGCAGGGGTGGGTTCCAACAGGCACTACTGTAGGTTCGCTCATAGGCAAGCTTCTGTAGGCAAGCTTCGCACTGGATGCGTGCTGTGCACACATGTGCAGTTCAATTAAAAAAATGTTCTGCGTATGCGCAGAAGCCAAAAGCAAGACAGCAGCGACCATGGCGCCACTGGGAGTACCTGGGGGTGGTGGTGGTGGTAGATCTGTGTCACTGCTGGTTCCAGCGACCCAGGCTGCCAAACCACTACCGGTTCGGCTGAATTGGGCCGAACTGGTAAGAACCCACCACTGGTTCAAAGTTACAACAGCACTGAAAATAAGTGACTTATGACCGTTTTTCACACTTACAACCATTGCAGCATCCCCATGGTCACACGATACATTTAGGCAAGAAAAACGAAATGCACAGGTACAGTATAGGTGGTACCTTGCTCAATAGTAG